TTTAGGGTTTAGGCCTCAGGGGTTTGCCCGACCTTCCGAAATCCCTCAAGTACGGAATAGACCTTCAAACAGCTCAGGACCTTCCCACATCCCTGACTTAAGAGGAAAAAACCGAAAAAACAGAGTAAGATCTATGAATTTAAGGCCTTTATTCCTTAACTAAGTGGGATTTTGGGAAGGTATGGCTTCCGAACCCTTAAACCCTAAACCCGAAACCCTAAACCCTTAGCCCTGACAGGGCTCTAGGGGCTCCAGTTCAGCCTGAGCTCAGGCATTTTTGGGGGACTGGCGGCTCAGGGCCCCAAAACCCAAGACCCTAAACCTAAAGCCTAAATAAACCAAAAGGCCCTAAACCCTAAAAACCTTTAAGCCCAAAGCCCCTAGTGTTTTTTTTTTTTTTTTTGCCGGAGGGTTTTGCTTGTTTTCGGGTTTCGGGTTTGGGAGGCAGGTTTTACATGGTTCCAGCGGGTTCAGATTCTACAGGATTTTGCCGCTGTGGCTTCCCCAAGTCTTACCTTGCCACCCTAAGCCCTAAACCCTAAACCCTACAGATTTAAGGGCTACACTCATGCATAGCTATCATTTATACTTATCTGCGGCTTAGACCTTCCGGGTCGATAGTTCGATAATTACCGGACCCGTTTTTGTATTGAATACCACCGATTAAGAACCATCACCAAGGTTTTGTGGGTTCGCATTAAAAACCTACGCATCGAATATATATATATATATATAATATACAGAAAGCGTCACCCATATGTATGTGTATATATATATATATATACATCTGGCACAAGAAGAGTAGGGTTTGGTAGCCCTAGGTACTTTAATAGCGGCCACAACCTGTGTTTGCAGGCCAAACAGTTTAGTGCTTAGAGGTTTGATATTCTTCCGGTTGCAGTGGTTGCAGTATTCATTGTGTTCTGAGTGGGTTAGGTTTTCAGGTTAACCTTTGCGATACATGAGTTGAACCTGTGATACCAGAGGTTTGGATGGGTTTGGGATAATCTAGGGGCTCCAGTTCCCCAAATCAATTGCATGCTCAGAAGGCTATCTGTAAGTTTCGCATAACAGACCAACAGTAACAAATCCTGAAGCACCAAGATCTCTACAGTCTCTCAATGAGAAGGTTTCACTGTAGTATTCGAAACCCACAATAATGACTCTAAATAATAAGGTTTCACTGTCGTATTTTGAAACCCCACAATACTGATTGGTAACCGGCTGGTTAGCTAATGTTCCCTCGCGCAGGACGGCAAGGGCGATACACCTCTGCACAAAGCCGTCTCACTGTGCCAGGCCCTAAACCCTAAACCCTAAACCCTAAACCCTATAAACCCTAAACCCTAAACCGACAGAATTCGTGTCGCTTTTCCTCCGTGGATCTTCCCCTAAGGGTCCATGTCCCCAAGTAGTAAATACCTTGGCCCCAAAGTGCCTATATTAAGGCCAAAGTTTCTACTACGGTTGATGATAAAAAAAAAAGCTGGGGATAGTTTTCTTAGGTTTGTTGTTGCAGGTTTCGGGTACCAGTTTAGGAGTTCGGACTTCACTGTGCAACGCGGAGCTTGCGGTTAGTCCGAGATCCCCTGAATGCCTAAACTCGAAACCCTAAATACATAAATCCCAAGTCCTAAACTCTACATACGTCTAAGTAGTTTGAGACCCTCCAACTGCCCTCGATGAGTGCTAGAAGTTCAAAAGTTTAGTAACCCCACGTAGACCGCCTAGACCCCCAAACTACCCTCGATTATACCGAAGAGAAGGACACAGCACGGATCTAGCCGTTGAGACTCAGTGGTTTAGGGAGCTTCGGTGATAGGGTGTAGGGGCTATTGGGGCTCCATTTTGCAAGGACGTGATGAGCAACATCATGTTCCGTGGGCTTCCTCATTCTGTTTTGACTATAGCATTCTCAATCCTCTGTGCTAACTGTTAAGCCATTGCAGCAAGTTATAGAATCCTTCGAAGGGAACCCTTTCAGGAATCTTATGATAATTGCTAAAGCCCATAAATCCCACATCTGTAAAACCCTCAACCCTAAAAGCCCTATGGCACCCTAATTTAGAGAACAACCCATATACCCAGAAGGTCCAGATATGCTACCATATGGAAGTATAGGTTCCAACAGGCCATCACGAAAATGGTTTTTGGGACCTAGTTCCATGACGGTAGTATATGTGGACCCTCTTGGACAGTTGTCTGCAAGCCCCCAGGTCGCAATGGTCGAAGAGCTTCTGCGCGCTCGGGCCAATGTGCGCCTCAGACCTTTCAAAAGCGTTAATATCGGGGCCAGACCCTTTGAATAGGGTTTTGGGGCATGTGATCCCACAAGTATCATGAGGACCCCGAAAATTAAGAAGCATGAATGGGGTTTTGGGGCATCTGATCCCTTAACTCTCATAAGGAAGCACAAGATAGAGAAGGCAGTTATGTACGCCACTATATTACTCTAGAGGTTCTGGTTGTAGAAGCTTGAAGTTTTTCTAGTCAATGTTATTCCTTCGATTCCTCATTCATACATTTTCATGTATGCGTATACTTCACAATGGATGTCGACACCCTGTTCTAGCCAACCAATTGAGGCCTCTGTACTGTCTTCGTATTCCTTGTTTGGAGGATCTGCCAGGTTTGCCTTGATTCCTAAACCCTAGACCCTACTCCCTAAACCCTACACCCTATAATCTCTAAACCCTAATCCCTAAGCCCACAACCCTAATCCCTCAACATTAAAGCCTCCTGAGTTTAAAGGAGGGTTTGGTTTTGGTCGAGAGGTTCTGACTTTGAGAGTAACTTAACGGTTTAGGGTTTAGGGTTTAGGGAGCAACTTACGAAGCAAAGACCTGAGAATTACCCTAAGAGTCCAAAGGACATAATAATGAGGTACTTGAGCTACGGATGGTAGTTTTGTAGGTTACTGTTTGGGAGAGGATCTGATTCATTAGGTGCTCGGACCCTTGGGGGATGCACCTCACTGTTCGACGGTACGTGTGCTGTCACGATCAACACATGGTCTGAATACTGTCGTAATATTAACACGTATGAGGCTTCATAAGAGTTCAGAAGAATTGAGTCCCCAATTAGATGAGATAAAATGTAAGCCCGAAAACCTTAAACATTAAGGCCCATGCTACATCAAGAGGGCGATCCCGTAATGATTGTTTACGTACACCGAAACTCCTGGTAGAGTCATGGTCGTTTTTCGGTATATACACAATGGTGGGCATATACGCACGTCAGAACCAACATGCATATACATATGTGTAAATATTTATATATATACACAGATGTATGTACATATATATATATATATATACATATATATATATATATGTATATATATATATATATACCACATGTATTTGTATGTGTGTGTATATATATAATGATTTGTTCATTGTGTCTTTATGTACACAGACACACACACACACACACCAGCTGGGGTCATGCGAAGCTTGAAGAGCTTTGGTTCAACAGCTTGTATTCCTGTAGAGTCTCCCTACACTTATCGTCAAATATGCTACCCAACCCTTTTCTGGTTGTCAGGCTCCTTGCATTCTTCTGCACCTTCGAGTTGATAGGGTTTAGGGTTTAGTGCATCCACGCCATCCTCCCTCACGGCCAATCCCTCACAAGTTGAGGCAACGACAGCGTAAGACATCAAGCCCTATACCAAGGCTTCAACCTCTAAGGCTCAAGCTGTAACCCCCTAAGCCCTTAACCTTAAACCCCCCAAACCCTTCCAAGCTCCTCCACAAGCCGTAACCGAAACGCTTGTTCATGATTAACCCCAAAGAGAAAAACAACAGACCCTTAAGCCTCATAGCCAAATCCCCAAAGCCCTAAACACTAGACCCCTAAACCCTAAACCCTAAACTTATTGCCGAAACCCCAAAGCCCTAAACTCCCAGCTGCACGTGACCAGGAACCGCACGAATCGGCGAGATGAGACTTTTGCCTTTGTTTGTCGGGGGCATCTCGGGAGGTTTCCAAATCGGCTCCCATAAACCGTTTACGATAGGCACAAAAGGATCCAATGTACCTATATAGTAGAATGTAGGGTTTCTACATTAGGAATCCTTATTATGGCTTAATACCTCAAACCACCGTAACCTACTTTTCTGTAGGTTCTCATTATAAACTCTTAGTATAGACTATATAAGCACCATACAAAGAAGTAGGTTTTAGTAGTTCCAGGTATAGTTAAGCTGGCCAAGGCGAACCAGATCCTAGATTCGAGCTATGTCGGTGCCTGAATGAATGGCAGTGGCATTGCCAGTGTTCCTCAATATCTGAATCCTAACACCCCTCCCCCCTCAGCAGAAACTAGTCTAAGTGTTGTGGCCCCCATAGTACGATTTTCCAGCGGTTTGGACCCCATTCGTCTAAGTCGTCTGGCAACATTACTAATGGAATTGTCAGACAGGTTTCAAGGATATCTGAAACGATCGATCCTGAATTCCTGAACCTTTGGCTTAGGGTTTTCTGGTAGTTTCAGAGGAACAATGGGCTCTGATGAGTTGGAGATAAAAAGATACTTCTCCGCCACTTTGTGCTGTTTGAGAGGATTGAAAACATTGAAGGATTTTCTGGTGTTATGAGTTTTTATGGGATGTCTAATCAGGATTCCCGAAAATTCTTGGGTTTGGCGTCATTTGCAGCGACGCCCTACACCCTTACTGAACTTTTCCGGAGAATGGGACATGCTGGAGGCCCTGTTTCTCGAGTATTTACCCGCAAACGCGTGCCTGCACGATCCCTATAAACCCTTAAACCCTATAGCCCCTTCAGAAGGACCCCAGTGACCCCAAACCCTTAAACCCTCAAGCCCCAAACCCTTAGACCAGAAACCCTCAAACCCCAAACCCTTAGACCCTAAACCCTCAAACCCCAAACCCTTAGACCTGAAACCCTAAAACCCTCAAACCCCGAACCCTTAGACCCTAAACCCTCAAACCCCCCCCCAAACCTTTAAACCCTCAAACCCCAAACCCTTAGACCCTCAAACCCTCAAGCCCCAAGCCCTTAAACCCTAAACCCTTCAGAAAGGACCCCCCTGGATGCCGCGATCGTGGTCGCTGGCACTCACGCAGCACAGGTGGTGCGGATACTGGCCCCCCGGACTGACGACTCCTCCATGGAACCCTTTCGGGTTCCTTGAAAGGGCTCCTCTAAGGTGTCCCTTCAAAGGGTTCTTTCAAGAAGGGCTCCATCCATGTACGAATCTAGTAATGAGATAGGGCTCCCTTTAAAGGATTCTTCACCAAGGGCTCCATCCATCTACGAAAATAAGTAATGAGATAGTTTGGACCTACAGTACCGAAATATAGGGACTGCTCTAAGGCCAAAGTATGTACTATAAACCTAAACCGTAAACTCTAACCCTAATTGCCACTTTTCGGTCGTGTTGAGTTTCAAGACCACGGCCTGCAGCCGGAGTACGGCAAGGGCCGTGGGACGCCGCATGGACATGTTGTTTTGGCTAGATGCTGCATCACCAAATTCTAGCCCACATGCCGTCCACGGACCCGGGACTGACGGTGCTGGCCCGTCGAGTTCCAAGACTTTAAGCAGCATGACAGGTGCCACGCCGGCCCCATATCCCGAAGGAGCTTTGCCGGGACATAGCCTTGCCTCACTATGGGGAGTAGTAGCAGGCTGGCCTTCGGCCGTGTTTCAAATCACTCCTGCGGATCTTCCGCTACACCCAGGACGTGCACTTGTGGCACGGGCGCGAAGCGCTGCTCCGATACGTCGCCGGGGTCTCCAAATACGGCGAGGGTATCCTGTCGAAATCTTTGCATGCACGCGCCATGCATGCTAGCCTCCACGCGTGCCGAACGTGGAAGGCCGCGGCACCGGAGCAGATCATGGCTCCTGCCCGGGAGGTCAGTCGTTTGCGAACTTGCCCACGACAGAACTCGTGCCTCCGAGCCCAGACGTTGCCGAGACTGAAGTCTTGTATTGTTACCGGCAACGCCCCCATGAGCTGGACACGTGGACACTCGTGGAGTGGTTACACTGCGGTACCACTGTGCAAGGAGTTTTGACGACGCCAGGTGCCGCGTGAAGAAGTACCGCCAGCAACATGCAATAGCCGTCGTGGACTCACATGACGTGTTCTTTTACCAGTGGCTGCTCCACAAGGTCCACCACATACCCTGGATCGAACGGCACCTGGCTCGCAACCTGCACCGGGCGGATTGCATTGCAACCAAAATTTTTAGCGCAGTTCCGCGCTGACAGGCATATGGTCCAGCAACAGTTGCTTGGGTGGTGGGCAGCTGCGTGCTTCCAGAGGTGCGCCGGGTCTTCCCACACTAAACAGGGGCTGCGGGCTCTGGAGGTGGTGCTGTAGTACACCGACTAGCGGCAGGATCCTCTGGAGCACAACCCCGAACCAACTCATTTTTGCTTAACGGGGTGGATCATTTGGTGGAGGAGAGCATACAGCGAGGCTGGAGATCTTGATCTGCCCGAAGGGGAAACTCGCATACCGGTTATATTCAGCAATGAAGACCGAGTGACGTCAATAACGCCCCAGCGGTTACTCGCAATGGGGAATGTCAGCTCCATGGCAAACTTTGCGGGGGGGCATGCGGTTTGGTTTCAAACCGGAATGGTCACCAGCAGGCAGTGGGAACCGCTCTACTATGTGTAGAAGGCCTGTGGTTGCGGCCCCATCCTGTTTGCCGAAGGGTCCTTTCCGCAACTGCCACCACCCATGCCGGATCCTGAGGCCGATGCCGGACACGCACCGAGCCTGCCATGGGAGCGTGCTTTCACGCTCACAGTGCAGCACCTCTGCAAGGACGCTGCTGCTTGATTCCAGTTCGTTGAAATGTATGTGGGCAGGCGTGCAACAGATGCAGCTGCTGACTTGATTTCTGCTGGCATCCAAGGTGCTGCTGTAGAATGTCGTGGCCAGAGATAGCAAGCAGCTTCATGGTCTTGTTGAGTTTGAAACATGTTCTGTTCAGAAGATAGTTGCTTACCTTGGCAGGTTGCCGGGAACCGGTTTGGCAACCGGCTTGGGACGTATCGCGAGAGAAGTCGGTGTCGAGACCCCGAACCAAGACCTGACACAGCTACACCTAGTGGGCCTGGAGAAGCTGAACCTGCTGCTGAACCAGCTGCTGGCCGTCAAAATTAACCTCGGGGCGCTAATGATGATGACGCCGAAAAATGTGTTGAGCCTGGTTCAATCTTGATATGGCTGCGAGGCAAACCGTGCTCAACGATGGAGCGAGTAGGGCGTCTTCGTGTCGTGTGTGCATGTGTGCCAGTGTGCCAGCTCTGGCAGGCGGAGCAAATAAAGAGCCGACACAACTTTAAAACAAAACCTAAACCGTAAACCCCATACCATCTCCGAAGCTACGGGCTTCCTACAACACTGCCTTCACTGTGTCCTCATAGCCCGGTATTTGCGAGACGATCACTACGACAGAATTCAATTTGTTCCTAAGCAATCATAGTCGGGCTTGTATTGCTCGTATAACTAGCCAGTTGTTTTGATTTGAATAATGGGTTTGTCAAATAAACTTGTATATAGTTCAACTATGCATGTTGCCATACTACTACGCCGAGTGAGACGGTGAAAACAGGTCTGGTGCTCGTGTATGTGCGACTTTAGACTAACATTGCTTGATGGCCCGTTGGCCACTGGTGGTGGCACACACGCTCTGTGGTCAGCCAGGGGGATGCATTGTGATTTTGGAAGCATCACCTGCGCGGGACTGCACTACCTCTTACAGGGTCCACGTGCCACTGGCACACCACTTCCGGATACCATACCATACCATACCATACCATACCATACCATACCATACCATACCATGTAGAGCTTATTGTCAGTAGCATCCGTATGCAGGGGCGGCATAGGTCATAGTAGTCATAGTCCATTATTCGAAGCTTTAACACTGCACCGATAACAACACTCCCGGCTGAGGTTTTTGGATTACTGAAGAGTAAGCCATTGTGTCGTAACCGGTCCTAACCCATATCTTGACCTCGACACCTTTAACGTCATACCGCGAGCGGCCCCGCACAATCCTCTGCGGTAAACTCCAAACGTTGAACTTGAACCCCAGTACAAATCACTCTGAAGCAGCCGGTAGAAAAGAAACTACCTTGAAGACATATGCAGCCCCCCCCACCCCAAAAAAACCCTCAACTTGATGTGAGGTCCGGGGCGGAGGCGACAAGGATCGAATGAATGGTTCTGGCGACACCCCGCTGATCGCAGCGATCCGCCACAAGTCCATCGCACCCCTGTGCTTCAGACTGAGGCGTACTTAGAAATAACTCTTAATTTTGGGTGACTGTAGTCCCTAAGAAGCAGCTAAAATAGTTTTTTGCAATGCTCCCAAGTTCTGTATAGCAAATTTTTGATCGCAGGATCATGGGACTTGCAAAAAGTATGGTTTACGTACTTTCATTGTGGCGAAAATTATAGTTTCCTCACAACAACTTGAGTCACTAAAACATTCAAATGCATTTCTGCCCAGATCCCAACAATCCTACCGTTTTCGAGGTTTGTTTTATTCTGGTTTTGAGAAAGTAGGCTTTTTTGGGGGGTCAAGTAGCTTGCTTCAGTCAGTTCGAAGTGTTCCTTTGCCCAGGTGCGCGCTTATCGATTGCAGTGCCGACATGGAAAAAACTGATCGGGACGGCGCGACGCCTCTTTACGCAGCAGCCGCTGGGACGTTTCAGAGCTCTCGGATTGAATTTTCTTTCCCAACAGATCATGCCGACGTTTGGTTTTGGTGGACCTAGTTCGCTTCAGGATTCAAAGTTTAGGGTTATCCCAAGCCCCATATCCCAACTGCTATCCAGAGAGCCCAATATCCCTGCATGGCGGAATACTCTGTAAGTCCGAACAGCGAGCCGTGTATGTTGACTAAGGCTTATTCGTTGGGTATCCTAAGGCCCCCATACCCGAAATGCCTCAGAGTCCCTCCAGCCACAACACCCAAAGAACCCCCAAGTGCCTTTTAACGAAGCCTTTGTATAAGCTTTGCAGCACTCTCATGAATCCCTTAAGCAACCCCGTCATATAAATAAACAAATAGATATATATATATATATACATACATGCATACGTGTATATACTTGTATATAGAGGTACAAACGACATCCGCCGAACCTCGTTGTCTTGGTAGCCTTGAAGCCACAGAAAAATTCTTGGGAACCCTTTCAAAGGCAATTGAAAGCTTTCCAAGACCTTCAACCCCAAAGCCCTCAAACCTTCCAGGACCCCTCCAATAGTAGAGCCCTTATGGTCTTTAATAGTGGGTATTCAGGATGTAGCTTAATAGATGGTAGTTGGGCGGGGGGGCTGGGTAGAAAATTGAAACCCTTGTGGCCTTAGGCCCTAAACCCTATAAATAAGCCTTAAACCCTGCTTTTGACCCTTTTGAGTTTGTTCCAGGCCTGGGTGGGCTTCTCTGGTGCTTTGACACTCCTGGCCGGTTCGGTCGAGGCGGGCGGAGGGCTTGGTTTGGGTTTTGGGGTTTAAGGGGTTTAGGGGTTTATAGGGTTGAAGGTGGAGAAGTAGGGGTCTTGCGCTGGGTTCCCCAGTAGTACCCTTTTGCACTTTATCGTTTTTTGGGTTTGTTTGTTTACACCTAATATAGGGAAACAGGGTACTCTCGTGATTAAGAAGCTCCTGGGAAACCGTTTCGACCCCTTTTCGGATGGCTATGCGGCTTTTCGAAGTTTCGAAGGGGTTGAATTCAGTTGGGCTCGGGGTTTGCAGTCTCTGGTGGTTAGCGGATTCAGGTGGGCTTATGAAGGCTTCTAATTTCAGATAATTCGCAAAACAGTTGTCAAAAACTGGAAGGATTCAAGGCTTTAGGGGTTTAAGAATTTTTGGTGTCTTTATGAACGCTTGGGACTGGCTTGGAGATACAACTGCAAGTACTGCAACCTCCTGACTTACATCTGGCACTTATAGAACTTACTTACTACGTCCCCCGATCCACTACGAACATGCATGCATCCGTATGTGGACATAAACAGACCTATCTCACGATTTTACAACTTCTCTTGCATGCATGGGTATAAAGAAGTAACTAAATGATGCGAAACCAGAAGAGCAGTCTGAAGAATTAAGTGTGTGTTTACGTGTAAATATGTGATATGTATGGGCACACAGAGACAGAGGTAGACAGCCGGAAGCGAGCGAGAGAGACCCAGGCCACAGAATCAGAGAGACAGAGATAGCGTTCAAAGTCGTTCGAGCAGCCAAGGTAGACAAGGTCAATGACTGCGGAGACACAGCCCTCCACGCTGCTGCCTGGCAGGGGCATGTCGATGCGGTGGAACAGCTTGTGGTGGCTCGTGCCATCACCAGCGCCTCCATCAACATTCATACTGGAGCTTCCATAAAGGGGACCCAAAAGGAGCCCCAGAATAGTACATTTGTTACTTGAATACTCTTGTCCCCAAGGAAAAGCCCCCCGTGTATACAGAGAGATAGATGTCTGTCTGTTGGCATTTCTATTCATCTTAATGTAGTTTTGACACTGCCCTTACTGATGCTTCCCATTATGGACTCGTAGTGACAGTGGGTGGGCCTTGACAAAAGATAGCTACTAGCCCCGGAATGGAGCTCGCCCGAGCCAAAGGCAAGGCCAACGCCGACGGAGACGCGCCACTGCATCCAGGTTGATCAGTGATATGCTGTTTTGTTTTCTTCTCTCTGGGTTCCTACTATAATATACTATCCCAAAAAGAGTATGGGCTCCTATTCTAGTATATCTAACCCAGAAAGTATATACTTGTTCCCCAGTAGGTCTTTGAACGGCTGAGGCATCTTGCAGCGCAGCGTGGCCATGTGAAGGTAGTGCGCCTCGGTCGTGAACGATTCGAAGCTCTACCCTAAACATCCTATACCTGGACCTTCCAAGAGCTTACACCGTTAAGTAATTACGTCAGAAATTCAAAAAAAGGAACGTGGAAAGGTTGATTAATTCGGGTTCAGATAAGAGGCATAAAGCTTACTAATCCCTCAAACTTGATATAGCTGAGCCCTGGCATGGTGTTTGCTGTTTGTTCGGCTGGTTGGGGGGAGAGTGTACTTCAGAGCTCTAGGGCCCACGGCTCTACGGCTTTGGGCTTTGATTCGAGCTTCTTCCCTAAGATCTAGATACCCAACCAAGCCCTTAAAGAACCCTCTTGGACAGCCTTTATCCGCCCTGCAAACCGGCGAAAACACACACAAACACACACCAAACATGCAGCTTCCCAGGCACTTCCTCATCGATCAGCAGGCGGACTTGGCCAAGCGCAACCTCGAGGGTGCCACTGCCTTGGAACCTCGACCTTCCAAGCTCCCCAACCCTAAGGGTCCAAAGGACCCAATAAGAAGGTACTTCGGTTGCGGATAGTAGTTGTTAACATTTGGGAGAGGATATGATTATTAGATACTTGGACCCTTAGGGTAAATCAAGCCTGAATCCAGGAATATACCTCATGTCATATTGGGGATCCTAGTCGTCTTTCCTAGACCCTGAACCCTAAACCCTGTAGTCAGCGGAATGCAGACACAAAAGGGTGGCTTGAAACAACAAACCTTAAACAGTCCTTAATTCAGGGATTTTTGGACTGCCTGGGAACCTTGCTTTTCGCATTGTTGGGGCTCCTGAGGATTTTGAGGTAAGGTTCACCTACTTTTTTGTAGGGCCCCTATGCATTCTATATGTTACGGTTTGTGCTAAGAGTTTGCGAGTAGGTTATGTAGTCGTCTGGGGTATTTGGTCATGCTGAAAATCGCTTGGGTCCTTGATAAGGGGTTAAGGCCTACGGGTCTTGGACCGGGTTCGTGCTTTCCGTTACAGGGATCTCGACTGCCGCAGGTTTAAACCCTTGAGGTTGCTTACAGTTAGTATGCGTCGAAAAACACTGAAGCCAGCCTCAAAACAACACCGACCCCAAACCCGACACCTGAAGCCCTAAAGCCACCCTAAACCGACGCCGAACCCTGAAAGCCTCAACCCTGAAAACCCCCGAAAGCAGACACCTACACCCTAAAAAAGACGTAATTCGTACATTCCTAAGCACCTAAACCCCGATGTTCCAAGGTACTTAAACCTTAAGGCCCCCAAAAAACTTAAGCCCCAATTTCCAAAGGTCCTTAAACCTTAAGTAAGGCCCCCAAAAAACTTAAGCCCCAATTTCCAAAGGTCCTTAAACCTTAAGTAAGGCCCCAAAAAAATTAAGCCCCAATTTCCAAAGGTCCTTGAACCTTAAGTAAGGCCCCAAAAAACCTTAAGCCCCAATTTTCAAAGGTCCTTGAACCTTAAAGCCCCCCCAAAAAACCAAAGTGGCCCAGGATTTGGCTGCTGCAAATGGTCATACCCTCACGGTGAAGCTGTTGGAGGCTTTCTAGCCGTCTCTTCACAGTCTAATACAGGGGCCCTACTAACCAGACTAGGGTTTGGGTGCATATTCTACAATTATTGTACTAGAACTACAATAAGGAGCCCACCAAAAATAGTATAGGTACCTATTGAGGCCACTATGGTAATTTTGACATCGAAGCCTTGTAGGGTTCCTCGGAAGGTTCTGCAATGCCGGGTTTTGGTGGGTATAAAAGGAGCTTGATTAAAGGGAACAGAGTGGTTTAAGCCCTAAGCCCCAAACCCTAAACCCTAAACCCTCTACCGGAGTGTCAGCAATGCAGGCTGGACAGGTTTGGTTTCATCGGTTTTCAAACTGCCGATTGAGTTTGACCCTAAACGACAAATCCGAAAACGTTCAAACCTCATCACCAAGCCTATACAAACCATGCACAGGATTGTTGAATTTCAACTTGCCCTTTCCTTCCAGGGTTTAGGGTGAACGGGTTAAGGTTTACGGTTTCGGGATGTTTCGGGCTTAGGGAATATCTTAGCCTACTTTATTGTAGGTTCTTATCATGAGAAACTTTAGTACAAATTTGGCAGGGGCCCTACAAAAACTAGGCAAAGTACCCTAAACCCCAACCCCTACACCCTAAACCCTAAACCCTGAATCCTTAACCCCTCAAGCTCTCCCCTGAGAGCACCAAATCCAGGAGGCATGCGGCCCAAGACGACAGCGCCGGGTTCCGACAACCTCTGCGCAGAAACGCAAGGGACGGCTCGTCAGAAGCCCTAAGCCCTAACCCTAAGGGTCCAAGTACTAAATGATCATATACTCTCGCTAATATTAACTTAGATAACTACTATCCGCAACCAAAGTACCTTGTTATTGGGTCCTTTGGACCCTTAGGGTAAGATTGTAGGGGTTCAGGGAATAGGATTGTTAGAGCTTTATATGAGTTTCTGGTGGCTTTACATGGTTTAGGGGTATATGGGCTTCAATTACAGAGTTTCATACCCTAAACCCTAAACCCTAAGATCAGAGGGGGTGTCGAGGGGTGTGGCTCCCAGCTCTCTAAGGGACTGTGGGCGCTTCGTATGCGTGGAGCTGTCAGGGTATCCTGCGGACGTACATATTCTAAGGTTTAGGGTTTAGGGTTTCGGTTTATAGGATTGAGGGTTTAAGGTTTAAGGTTTACGCTGTTTCGGAGCCGTATGGGTATCAGGCACAGGTGCCTTAGTTATTGCCACAGGGTTTTGGGGGGTGCATATTTACTGGTCATTATAGCTAGAATTGGCCCCAAAGCCATAGTAGAGTACGGAGAACACCTGAACTTGTAAATCTTTGCCTGTTGCGTTTCTAGCAATCAAGCACCACGTCTTTATATCGCAACTTCAGAAACAATGTCCTTTTCTAGTCAAAAAAACGTTTTTGCGTAATATACCCCCCCCCAATATGTTATTCTATTGGCCCCTGTACCTTTGAAGCCCTACAGGAGCCCCTGAAGGGTCCGGATACTTAATAGTCACGTACCCTCCCGAACACTAACCTGCGTAACGACTACGCAGCCGAGTACCTACCCATTGGGTCCTTCTGGGAGGTTCATGGCTAGTCATAAGTGCGGTTTATAATTAGGATGACTGCGTAACTGTAATTACCCCATATTATTGGACATACAACTCCAATCATAACTACTCACGAACCTCCCAGTTTGCACCCCTAAAAAACGAACCAAGCTTTCTTGTCCACAAAGCATCATTGAATCATAGGCTGAAGGACACGGCTTAGGGCAGAGGCTGCCTTGTCTGCGCATGTACATACAAACCCGGCGTGTCCAAGTTCCCAGAGAGCCTATATACTTCGGCCCCCAATGCTCAAGGTTTACACCCCCTAAGTGCCTAAACCCTGAACCCTAAAACCTAAACCCTAAAACCTAAACCCGAAACCCTAAACCTTAACGAAGACCTAGAGCGTCCCGAAGGTCCCCTACTAGGAACTGGAGTACTTGGACCTTTACGGGAGTGCTTTTCCACCCTGCCGTGCTGCCGCAAGGAGGGAAAACCGGAGCGATCGTAGGAACGAGAACCGAGCTTGATGGCTTAGGGTCCAGCTGCATCCGACCCAGTCCTCATGTCTGCAGGCCTAACCATACTGGTTTTTGTTAAAGAGGTTCCTTGTTGTTGTAGCTGCCCCTGGTGTCGACGGTTCTCTTATGGAGTGAAGAGTGCTGTCCCGAATTGGGCATCCAATTTAGTCATTTTAAGATATATAAGGATACCTTTTTGTTTGCTATACATCCCTGTCATGGTAACGTAATCCAGTTCCTCAACAAGAACCCGGTCTATGTAATCATGCATGAACCCCACCAGGGGTAGACCTCTAATGGTCTTTTTAAATCGGGACGGTTTCAGAAAACCCATTTAACAGCACCGAAACCCTACAAACCCAGGAGACACCCTCGAGAAGCCCCGAAGAAGCCCTGTCAAAGTCTTGATACCCAGAAAGTTGAAATTTTGAAACCACAAACCTTTACATGGTCACCTGGACTGTAATGCCACTCAGAACTCAGAACCCTGTAGAAACCGCCTGCAAATCCCTAGACCCTAAACCCTAGACCCATAAACCCTAGACCCTAAACCCCTAAACCCTAAACCCCAAACCCCTAAACCCTAAACCCTACACCCTAAACCCTAAACCCTAAACTGTAAATAAATCCTAAACCGCGAACCTCAAGTTTCAAGCCGCCCAACAATATAGCTGGTTTAGGGGTTGCCTGGACCGTAAACAAGCTACCTTTTTAGGGTTCCCTGTTATGATTTCCTTATACAAGTCCTTACAAAGGTAGGTTCTTTAGGGTCTAGGTAGGGTTTAGGGTCTGGCATTAGGGGATTAGATTAGGGTTTAGGGTTGAATCATCGGGGAAAGGTTCAAAGCCCGCTCACCTCATACAGAACCCGTATTTACAAGGTGCATGGGCCGATACCGGAAGATTAAATTTAACGGATCTGCCGAGGAGAGATCGGGTCTCCTTCTGGACGGTTCCTTTGGCGCTTGGCTGGGGGTGGGGAAGCCAAGATCAGCCTATCCACCAGCCTGAAAACCCCCATTTTGGTCCCTGTATAAGTCAATTATGATCTACCGCAAGGCCCTGTGTTGAGTGTTAGGGCCAGTTCGTGGAAGTAAGGCTTGAGATGGCCTTGAGCGGTGTTCGAAAAAAATCTAGTGCAAAGGTTCTGCCAGCACTTTTCGAAGGTTTTGTGTTTTAGATTCTAGCTTCCGGAAGTGAGCCTGCAGGTACTTACCGAGAGTGTCCAGGTGCCCAAATCCAAAAAGTCGCCTTTAGGCTTTACCCTAGACCCTAAACCCTAAAACCCTAAACCCGATCGCTTTTGGTAGGGCTTCAGGTTGAGGGCTTGTGGGTTCATATTTTGTTTAAAGGGCTTTGGGCCGAAGGTTCCGATTCCGGGCGGTTTTGCGGATTGTAGTCTTCAGAGTGTAACATTCGATCTCGGATTTTGGGCCAATTTGGGTTCATTTCTGGTTATGTAGGGCTAAATGCGGATATCCGGGGCTGTATATGCCAGATTTAGAGAGTTTTGGTTTTGGGGGCGTTGCGCAGTTGCGAGCCCCAGCAGCTCTGCCACAGTAACTGAGAACCTTCAGACCCTGCCCGTTTAGATTCGGATTGAGGCCTGAAGGAACCATCTTACAGTCTGCGAAGTAAGATACGTATAGAAACCATAACAAGTTGAGGGCTTAGGGAAGGCCCTTACAGCCTACAAAATGAAATACTTACAGAAACCAAAGAAGCTTAATAGTTCTTGCATCAGAAACCTTACGCCGTACGCTGTACGATGACCCAGGCCTCAGAAACTCTGATACCGCCTTACGAAGCCTGAAAAATCAGGTTTAGGGTTTAGGGTTATCCCTGTTTCAAACCTTGATGACACCTGAATAAATTAACCCTTTACATGTCAAGCCGTAGGCTTGAAACTGACAAGTTGCAGGGCCTGTTGCGGGTGGGCTGTCGGCTGTCCGATACACAAGCCGTACCCTGAGAGTGAAGAAATTTGATTTGGGTCTTCGGAGCTAGGTACTGTAGAATGTAAACCCCTGGTTACTAACCACCCTTTCTTTAAAGGCCCTATAAGGGTAGTTCTCTAACCAGGGTCCCTTTTATATTGGGTCTTTTTGTCTAAAGAGGCCGTACTAGTCTTGGGACCTAGCAAGGGACCCTAATTTAGACAACTACCTATATACCAAAGGAGCCCAAATAATTACCAATACATTTTTTTGGGGGGTTCCTTGTTCTAGTTATAGTATAGTATGCCTCAAAACCCTNNTATTAAGGCCCCTACATTAACATTAGGATCGCTATTCTGTTTGTAACTTAGCTAGGACTTGCGGAGCTTGCCGTGTTGGGTTTGCTAAGTCTTATTATTTTGGGAACTACAAACGTCACCTTTACAAGGGGTTCTAAGTGTTGCAGTGTACTCTTGGCCTTCTTATTGAGTTTTAGGGGCTAGGTGTAGAGGTGTTGTTGCATTTGATAGTTGTTGGTCTCGTGCGAGGCTGTAGTGAACGGTGAGGTAAATAGTGCTTTATGTTGCGTCTGCGGGGTTATATGCGGATTGATGGGTTGTCTTGGCTCCCCCAGGAGTAGTCGGTTAACTTGTATGTTTGAGGCGGTAAGGTCCTTGTCGAATCTGAAAGATGAAAATCGTCCCTGTTAGATGTTCGGGATACTTCTCCATCACTACAAGTCTCAACCCCGAATCTTGAGCTAAGCCCTATAAACCTTGAACACAAAAGTACCCTAAACCCTGAACCCTA